CATATTTTAATATAAATAAAATTTTTGCGATCATGAAATAAGAACAAATTTGAGTATTTGATCATTAAAATTAAGATTACAAAATATTTTACTATGTTAATGAGCTTTACTTACTAATAAAAAAATGTTTAGCTAAATATTCTACAATAGAAATAATATATTCTAACTAAAAAAATAGGAAATAGAAAGCATGAAATTAAATTAATATGAATAAAAGGCTAACTTTCTAATTTTTTAGTATTTTAACTTGTATTTAAATCCAAATTGACAGAGAAGAATACTTTTTATATTTTAATTTTTTAAATGTATAATTTCTTAATCAAAAGCATTTGAGAATAAAAAAAATTTTAAAAGTTATTTATTAAAAATTTTTATTATTCAAAAAAACTTTTTGTTATTTTTTTCACTGAAAACTGTAGTATATATAAAAATTATTTATAAAATTTTTTATCAAAATTGAGATTTTTTATTTATATAAATTATTATTATCTTATTTATTTATAGTATAATTTTTATAGCTTATTAACTTAATAAAATAATATAAAATCCAAAAATCTCTCAAAATCTAAATTTAAATTTTAGTAATGATTAATGATTTCTGTAGATTGTTAATTTAATTTTTATTTCTGAATAGTTAATTTTCGTAAAGAAAATTTTTTAAGATTTTTTTTAATAATTTTATTTTTATTTTAACAATTTATATGAAAGGTAAGTAATATTAATAATAAAAAAAATATTTTTTACTAGGGACTATAACTCATATAATATTTTAAATAAAATAATAATAATTTTTTAATTAAAATTATTGATAATTACATAAATGATTTTTAAGTTATTTTGTTACAATTATAATTAAAAGTTTTTTTGTTTTAAAAAAATTTTTATTAAAAATAAAAATTATATTTTAATTAATTTATAAAATATATTTCATTAATTTAAAATCAAATCTATATAATGAATTAATTTATAATAGTTATATTAAATTTTCTGCTTTTTTTAATTAAATAAGTTTAAAATTTATAAATTTAAACCTTATATTTACTTAAAATGTTAAATCATGAAATCTTTTTATATTTTGCTATTCCCTTAATAAAAATAATCTAGTTGTGTTTTCATATTTTTTTACTATCTAGTAACTATTGATATTATCTCTACAAAGTTTTTAAGTTAACTATAAATAGTTTTTACATTTTTATTATTTGAAAAATAACAAATATTTTTTTATTATGATCTAGTAACTCAGGAGTTTGTAAAAATAAAATTTCTGTATTATACTGTATATAAATTATTGTATCCTTAGATATTAAAATTTGCCAAAAATACAGATCATCCGTGTTTTTACCTAATTAAGGAATTAATTTGACTCGGAATATCATCCAGAAGTAGTCCTGAGGCAACATTTGAAGATTTTTAGTTTTCATAACATGCTTTCCTTGCTCAGTCTCGTTGCGAAAAATTTTTTCTCCCTATACATCATCTGCTATACATAATAACCACTTTTCTGTTTCAAGAACCTAGTCAAGGATACACTTAAATGGATTTCTCGCTTCAACGAATATTTCTGCAAAAGGGATTAATAATAGGGATTGTAATGATTCAAAACGTAGAGTCGTTTATAATCGATTTTATTATGCGTAGTGATTTTTTAAATCACAAATTGAACGCGAATAATAAAAAAAAATTTTTTTTTTTTACAAAAAAACATGAATTATTTTCAAGTAAAAAATTATTATTTATCAAAAAATTATTTACATATTCATAAATTCTACATTTTATGATCTATGATGCCTCATCCTTTATTTCCTTTATTCCTTTATAGCAATTTAGCAATTTTTTTTCTTCGCTTCGGGCCGCAGAGATCGAATGAAAATTATTTTTTTATTTCATTTTTAATAATTAAGTTCCTCTTTGCTTGGTATTTTCTGAGTTGTATCACTTCGAAAGGATTAGATAAGTTTTTTTTTGGATTTAATCGCATCGTGCAATGTCAGATATTTTTTTTTCTGATTTAATGTATTTTTTATTTTGTAATTTGGTTTATCTTTTTTCACTTTATATGTTCCTTCATTTTAGGTTAGGATTTTTTATTTGATTTTCTGATCATTTATGATTTTGCTAGAATCAATCTTATTTTTACGATTAAATTGTTAAAAGATTTATTATTAAAATGTTTCCAAAATCTTGTTATATTCAAATATATTTATAACGTTATCAAGAAAAAGTCGAATTATATAACCCCGATACTAATCAAGGGGGTACTATATCAGGGGTACTATAGGCAGCGCTGTCGGTATTAAATGAATTTATCGTCATACTTCAATTTTCTTCTTCGGCGGCTTACAAATACAAATTGTTTATAAAATACATAAACGAAAGAGCAGTATTATAATTTGTAGATAACGAACTAAGGTAAGAATAAGAAAATACATACAGGTGACGCAGGATCATTAATTAATTTTAAAAGTGAAGCGTTTTTTACAATGAATATAATTCCTCTCACAGAACGATTAGTTAAGTTAGATTTTGAAGATCAGTTAAAATTTTATTATATATACGATTGGATATTTCTTCAGAGTTCATCATGTTCATTTGGATATATATAACGACCACCATTGATTTTTTTTTTATTTTATTTTTTTATTAGCATTTACTGATCGGCATCATTGGACGTAATTTCGAAAGTGTAGAGCGCCGACATTGAGGGCAACACTTGATTGTTAAATTAATTTATAAAATAATTTTACAATTAACAACTTTCTGCTAATGTTAGTAGTATATCTTTAAAGTAAACGAATTTATGTATATAAAAAAATATTTTAATTTTTAATCTTTTTTTTCAATTTTATTTTATTAAACTCGTGTAATAATGAAACAGGATATTTATATTTAATATAATAAAAAAAAAAAAATAATAAATAAATAAAAAATTTAAGTCTAAGATATCTAGCTACTAGTAATTTTGACGCTTTTCAGTAATTTCGATCTACAAACTATAAGGTTTACTCTCTTCATTAACATCTTCGGCATTCTTTTCGTCATTGAATTTATTTTGCGCATTTTCGTCATTTATAACAATTCCCTTTGGTCCTTTTGATGCATTAGCAGAAGTTTCGTGTTCATTAAATTGTTGATCGCGTAACAATAATTCAATAACACGCTCAAGATTTCCATTATAACGTTTCAATAAATCTTCATACGAAGCATCGTTTGAAGAATTGAATCCCATGGAATGTAAAGTTGCGAGTTTATCTTTTAATTGTTCTTGAGTAAACGGTGCTTGGTTGTAATATCGAGGATTGAAAAAGTTAAAATTTCGATTGCAAGAAGGTTTTGATCTATAATCACGGTTACGATCACTCTTATCACATCCGTTATTTGCAGATGCGGAACTTGAAGCTTCAGCATTTTTATCGCTTGCATCCGATTGTTGTTTTGGGCTTTTATTACAGGCTTTGAATTTGTGTCCACATGAATCACTTTGACGACCGAAATAATAAGTTGACGGGCCTCCACATTTATTGAAAAAAGCTGAACGATAAAATTGTGGATGACCGTATGCATAAGAATTACAAGGATTATAAATGGAACCACGGAATGGACCTCGACTAAATGATTCGGAACCGAAATAAGGTCTATCAAATAATCCGAATCTTGGACCTCCAAAGGACCCAAATATAGACCCAAAGAAATTTGGACGAGCCCATGGATGTGAAATTATGATAATGATTTCGTCATCATCATCATCATCGTCATCGTCACTTTTTGCTTGCGTCTCAGCGTCTTTTGTTTTTTCGGAACGTTTCTGTTTTCCGGTTTCCTTTTCTTCTTTACCTTCTTTACGAAGAAAAGGGATAGATTGTTTATTTGCAGCCTTTGCTTCCTCTTCTTCTACTTCTTCTTCGAGAGAGACATGTCGATAGTAAGAAGTTGGTATGTGCTTAACCTCTTCTTCACGTTCAGTAATTTGTTGCTCCTCTGCCAAGTAAGAGGAATCTTCAAAAAGGTTCAAATTGTTACTAACATCTTCACTCGACAATTCATTTTCAACGTTAGACTCGCTTTCGTTATTTCCGCCTTCAAAAACCCAACTTTCATTGTTATTAGCCGTGTTCAAGACAAGTTTTATAGGTCTACCGGAGGATTGTTGAGCAAGAACTTCTTTAAATTCCAGATCACTTGAAAGGGTGATCACGTCACCGTCTTCATCAGTGTAAGAGACGTTAAGAGAAGTTGTGGTTGGGATTTTATAAAGTGAGCGTAATTTAGATTCTAATTCCGTCCAAGTTGTTGAAGTGTCAATGTTGAAACGACGAGAAATCGAGTTGTAAGTGACTTTAATTGTTTCCATTTTTAAAAGTTTATTTAAATTTTTTTTTTTTTTGTTTTAAAAGAATTAGTTTGAATGTTGGGTAGTTTTCACTCCAAGAATTTTTCAGAGGCATTTTATAGTTTTTTTCGTCTTTCTCAAATGTTCGCTGCGCTAGATTGGTAATCATTTTAAATTCCACGTACTTGTAACTACGTATTTTACATATCCAAACGTATCCAATTTCATAACCGCTTTCGTAAGCACTGATTCCAAAAATTTTAATGACGGAACACTGTGGATTTTACTAGTAGGTTTGGCTTTTTGCCGAAATTTATCCGAATGGATTTACTGCGGCTGCGTATCATTGAATTAAATTACCTATTTTATCAAACAAAAAGTCGTAATAATCTAGTTTGAAAAAGTAATAGCGGATAAAATCTATTCATACAATAATATGATTTATTTTACATCATCAGCTGGAAAATGCCAATTTTGCTTACGAATATGACAACGTAATTACATGAGAAAACATATAAAAGGGGATGCAATAAAAATAAAGATAAAAAATATTTCGTCGTATTTATACAATCTTTTTTTCATCATAAGTTGAAATAATAATATTCGACAGTTTAATTCACTTGTATTTATAACCACAATCGATAAAGAAATCAACAGAAAATTAGGGTTAGACATGGTAAATATTAAAGTAAAATTTGGAACAATTGCTCGTCGTCTTGGCATTTCCTCTATCACGACTTGGTCGGAATTCGAATCTCAATTGCGTACCTTATTTAATATTCCTCAAAACGTTCCCATAGTAACTACTTATACTGATGAGGAAGGCGATACTATTACACTTTCGAGTGATATAGAACTTCAAGAAGTTCTTTCTAATGCCTTCAATAATAATACGATCAAATTCAATTTAACCACGTCAAATGGGAATCATTTGAATCACGATATCATGATAGACGAAGAAACTTTTAGTTTAATTAATGGTGTATCTGCCATTCAAATTGAAGAATCAAATAATGATAACAGACATGAAGAAATTCCTGGAGAGACTTCAAAAAAAGCCGCTGAAACTACCAACAACGGTACACAAAACCAATCTAAAGACGATCAAGTAAACATTGACGATGATCCGGAAATTATTGTGATTATCGCCAGTAATCCATGGTCACATAGACGTCGTGCTCATTGTGGAGCTCAAAGATTCAGTGGATGCAATCCATATTATTACACCTTTGGTGAAAGATCCCGTCGTGGAAACACACAACCGGATTGCAACAACTCTAGAGGATGTAATAGATTCGCCGCTTCTCATAATTACGGATGTGGTAGACGCTATCGTAGACATCAACAAATTTCATCAGAAGTTGTAGCAGAAAAGGTAAACGTATTGCATACGATGGGATTTGTTGAGGATAATTTGGAAGGATTAGTAAAGAAATATAACGGAAATCTCGAACACATCATTGAGGTTTTATTAAATCAACGAAACGAACAAAAGGAAACAAATAAGGAAAAAGAAGTAAGAAAGGATAATGATGAAAGTGAACAATCAATGGAAGTCGAAAAGAATACACCACATGTTTTGTAATAATTTTTTTAATTAAATGAAATTTTATTATTATTTATTTTTTTTTTTTTCAAAAAAAAAGGGTCCATCGAGAATGTTGATTATCAAATATTGAAACTTTTAAATTTAATTTTAATAAAAAAGTATCTTTCTTTTTTGTCGCTATACGATTTATTGTTAAAAGTCGGAACTTTGTTGTTTAGAAATTTTCGTGCTACCTTGACCCGAAAAACTAATTGATCTGACAGACTGTATCTTTGAAACGCATGGGATCATTACAATTAATTAGAAATTTTATTAAGCAAATTTGTATTTCACATATCGTTCATCGTTGATTATTTGTCGAAAATTTATAACAAATGTGCTTAAAATTTAAATAAAAATTTATTATATTAATTTCATAAAAAATAAATTTCCAATCAAATTAAACTTATAAATAAAGGAATAAACCACTAGTGGCAATCCTAGGTAAACAAAAAAAAAGGATCTCTCGTTGACCTGCGGATTGTGCATCAAATTTATTTTGTGTGGATTAAATAAATTAATTTATACTATGATGCCTAATTACAGTAGTTCATTAAAATTTAAAAAATATGTTGCAATTCTAAATTGGTTTGGGGCGCAATTCATGTATAAGTATGAATGCAGGTAAAGGAAATGGGTGTGTAACCTTTGGTTAATTAATTTAAATCATATGTTAAGTAAACAATGATCTACAACCATAGTAAAGTTTCAAGTTTCAAAAAGATTCAAAATTCTTTTTATTGTAAATGTTTCAAGATGGAGTATATTGATTGCTAAGAGGAGCAGCAGGAATTTTACACATTGTTTACCATTTAATACGGGACACATTATATGTTATTTTGTTAATCATAATTGCCACGTTTACTATTGTTATCATGCATGTTTTTCATTTCTCATCTAACGGTTTTCTTTGATAAAAATGCGAAAATTTTAAAGATTGGTCACATCCATTATATTGGTCGGGGAAAAAAAACACATTTCCTTCCGTTATTAATCAAAGGATTTAATATAATACCGCAGTAAAGATTATGAAATCAACAGTTTAAATCTTTCAGTTTAACGGAAACAGTTAGGACATTTTCTTATCATCAGTAGAGTATGCATACATATTCCAAATCAGCATTTATTAATTTCCCATCTATTTAAACTGGAAAAACCCTTTTTCGTCTTCATATCTTGTTTATCCAGATACCGACATGTTATTTACCTTTACACAATACACAAGGATGGATTCCTTAATTTGCAGGGAGTAGGTTTCGGAAACAGTTCTGGAACAAGAAAATCCACCTTTGCTTTTTTATCCCCGTCACCTCAAATTGCCGCGCTCAACCTTCTCTAACAAAACATTTTCTTTTATTTTTTTTTTTCCTTTTTTTTTTTCTTTTTCTTTTTCTTTTTTTGCAAAAAGACAATAAAAGATCTCAGGTACATGTTGGTGTTGCAAATATGCAGTTCGGCGGTAAATCCATGACTACGGACATAATTTCGGAAATCTCGGAAACGTAAATAAAATAAATAAAATGGGATGTTTCGGGTTTTTATGTAACAATAACATAAAAAAAATTTAACTGACTGACAAGGTTTTATAAATATATATTTATTGAGATGTATATATTTACATATCCGTGAGATGTTCGTGAGAGTATTTACCAACTAATGTTTCACCATGTTGGTATCAGAAGCGAAAGGTGCGTGAGCAGATTTTTTTTTTTTTTCCTAATATCTTTTTACATCAAAGTAACCTTTTATGAGATTCTGATAGTTTGGTAATAAGGCTTTTTTTTGTATTTCGAATCGTTGCTTCATAGAGTTTATTGGTGTTTTGATTTCCCATACTATACAAGATTTGGAAATTTCATCTTTATCAAGGTTTGGTTTACTACATCTTAATTTGCCAAGTTGAAACAAAAGAAGGTTTTGTAATTTTTGTTAATTTGATTTGTAATTTATTTACTCTTTGTCGAAATTATGACTATATTCTTTTGCAAAAAATGTCACAGATTTATTTAAAAACGGTGTTGTTTTATTTTTTTTACACAAATAAATTCGTTTTTCACAAAATCATGTGAATCATCGAGTTTTATGTGTCCCACCTATCAATTTTCTCTTTATCTAGTTCAGCCCAAACAAATAAGTTTTTTTTCCCCACTAAAAAAAAAAAAAAGATATCATATCTAGATGATGAACTTGTTGGGTGGGTCAAGTGAAACTTCAAAATTCTTTATGATTTATGATTGTTCGCTTTTCTTTCTTAAAACAATAGTAATGAAAAAGAAAAAAAGTTTTAATTAAAAAAAAAAAATCGCTCATCGATTCAATATTGAACACATGAGCTTTTTTTTTTTCTTTTTTTCACGCGTCAGCAGGCAAAGATTGCATAAACATTTTTTTTTTCTTTTTAGAAAATTTTAATATTCCTTGCTAGAGAAATAAATGGGAAATCCGACCTAAAATTATACAAATTATGAACCTTAAATCCGATCATATGGTCTTTTTTTTTTTCGTGACGCAATTGGGTAGATTGGGGATAAAGTTACGGTTTGGTGTTCAATTTTTTATTTTGACTCGGCCGCTGCGCATTAGCCTACCGCCTTGAAATTATAGACATTTTGGTTTTTCACTTATCGGGGGAAATTTCCAACTTTATAAATGATTAACACAACGATAATCATCGATCGTTATTTAAAATAAAGAAATTTCGCCAATGAACGCCAATCACGAGAACGTGGTCAATTGATAATCCCACAATGTAACATTTTCGAAAGAAAAAAAAAATATCTTTATTTATGATATTAGGTTTCAAAAGGAAAAAAAAAAAAAAATGTAACAAAGAAATCAAATACTTTGTTGACAAATAAAATAAAGAGTTGGGATGTTTTTTATGATGCGTCCCATGACAGGTAAATTAGAAGAAAAAAAAATAATCCTATGTACAAGTGCAAAATCCATCCCTCATTAAGAAAGGATTTCAAAGAATGAAAAAAAAAATTATATTGTCTATGATGAGAGAAAATAAAAAAAAAAAATATCCCCTTGATACACCATCCATACATTATAACAATAGAAAAACGATAAGATAAATAAAAATAAAAATAAAGGAAAAAAAAGAAAAAGAAAAAGTGTCCGTAGTATTCAAGTTGAATAATAAAAAAATATATTTATATTGAACCTTTTTTTTTTCAATTATATCTTACTTTGAATCGTATTAAGATATTGATGAAAATTACCCTCTTGAAAATGACGATAATATTGTTGAAATTCAGAAATATTTATGGTTCTCGCGCGCTGCGGCGCAGGAAGCGGTTTGATTGCACCTTCTTGTTTTCCAATATCGGCCATAGTTTGTAACATAGGATCCTTGAGCAATCGTTCTACAAAAGTGTCTCTACGACGACGTCTTGTGTTTTGCGCCGAGTTGGATGGAAAGGTATGTGAGCGAATAACTTCAGGTCTCATTTGTGAGGCGACAGTTGACATTGTGAAAAGAATAAAAATGAATAAGTTTTAAGGTCGTAAAGTACTCTCTTCTCTCGATCTTGTTTATAAGGTCAAATGTAAAGTTTAAGCGTTTTAGGCAAAAAGATAAATTCTATCAAAGGATTTGGTTGTTACGTATGTTAACGAAAAATTTTATTATTATTATTATTTTTACGAGAGAAATAAATTTTTTTTTTGAGAAAGAAATTATCGTTAAAGATGTGCAAAAGAGCTGTTTATATAGTGTAGGATCAAAGAAAAAATAATATATATAAAAAATTTTTATATTACAAATATGTGGAAAAGCGAAAAGGTGGTACAACCTGTTTATTATTTCAAGTATTACCCTCAACAGTAAAAAAATTCCCATATAATAGATTTATCAAAGAAATCATCTGATGTAACACAATTAAATTGATTTTTTGGTATTGAAAGATATATGCAGTGTATTGTGACAATCAAATGGAATATATTTTAAACTTTTAAGTATCTTTTTTCTTTTTTCTTTTTTTTTCTTATTTCTCTTATTGGGATCCTGCATTATTCAAATTTTTTTTTTTTTTTTTTTTTATAAATTGTTTTATTCGGCCGTTTCTGATTGATGTTTCTCTTCTTATATGAACCCGGGTGTGTGCATACAGCTTTCCGTTTAAAACTAAACATTTTTTTTTAGTCAAAGAGAGAATGAATGATCACTCTGGATAATCAATTGGTTGGACGGATTGTGTATCCTTTGAAGTTGATAAAAGATAAATATTTCTTGCCTTCCCGATCATTCATTTTTTATCACGTCGATCCCTCTGCGTCATGGGTGAAGTAATATGCGTAACTTATGGGATTAGCCAATGAAATGACATTATCAAGGCATGTTTTTTTTTTAATTAGCAAATTTTTCACAGACCAATCATGGCCTTATGATCTATTGTATGACATTTTAGGCAAAAGAACCAATCCCATGACAATAAATTAAATGTAATGTCTTTTTTGATTTGTCTTATAAAACGATGAGGAACTTGAAACAAAAAAATATATTTTGATCTATCCAATCTTGGATAATGGATTGTATTTATTTTTTTTTTTTTTTGTTTTTGTTTCAGGAACACTTTTCTACGGTTAAACATCATTGCCAAGCAAGGATCAACAACTTTATTGGTTATAAACATTTGGAATTGCCTTTTAAATCTACAAAGCAGCTTCACAAAATTATACTTGATTCAGTCATTAAGGTTTTATCCTTTAGAAGATCAAATCATTTCAAATGATAATCACGGGTGCATAGAACGAATGGTCTTAATTAGGCATATCGCCACGGATATTAAAAATGATCATTATTAGTTAATACCTAACCTAAAACTATTTTAGTCAACCAAAAATCATTCATTAAAAAATATTAAACTTTTTTATTTTTTTAAACACAAGAATTTCTTTGAACAACTTCACATGTAAACCACCATCCTTACAAGAAAGAACAAGTATTAAGAATTTTTAGGATTCACTAAGCCAAGCCACTCACATGAATGTTCCGCAGCAAATTCACATGTACTTTGCATTTTTCCTTCGCTCTTTTCCTCTCCATACTAATTTAGAAGTCTTCTTGTTGTACGTATGCCAATGTTTCCTTTTGAATTATCCTAGTTGCATTCGACATTAAAGCTTGCGTAATGAACTTACATATGACTATTTATAGCTCCTTTCAATACGATATGTGGAATTATATATCTTTATGAAATATATACAGTAAAAATCACCTTAACGATACTTTTGAACAGGAGAAAAATTTTTTTTATTTTGAATTGCAACTTGATAGGTCCCTTACATTCGCTTATAAGTCATGATACGGAAAGTGAGTGTTGTCGGCTGTCGCCGCAGTAAATCTAGGTTAATAAAATATTTTTTCTTTTTATTTTATTTTATTTTATTTTTTTTTTTTGGTAGGAAAAAAGATGTAGATTCGGTTAATATCCGCTGAAAAGCTAGCAATTTCATTTTGTTATAATAATAAAATCGAAAATGCCAGCTATCTAGAGAATAATTTCATAAATCGGAATAGGGTTTTCTTGGCAGTCATATAAGCGAAATAAACAATTATAAAAGTAGGTGGTGAAATCTTTTCATTAAGCATTCAACAATTTTTTTCTTTTAAATTAAAACTATCAATTAAAATCAGAAAGATGGCTAGCGTTGAAGTAAAATACGGACAAATTTCTCGTAAAATTACCATTGTTTCTAACATCATTTGGATCTCAATTACATGATATCTTTGATATTCCTAGTGAAATTGTAATTTCTGTATCTTACATGGAGATGACATAACATTGTCAACGGATTCAGGATTACACACAATTTCTTTCTAATCAAGAATCGTTTGGTGGAAATGTGAAATTTAACGTGTATACGGCAGATTATCCTGATAATAACAGTTGGGTTTTAGAAGTTTTAGAAGATGCAGAAGTAAAGGAGGAATTTATCGCCACCTCAATTGATGCGAATACCTCTTTCAAAAAAGATGATTATATTTTTGATGAACCTAGTGTCAGTGAAAATGAAAATACGAACGATAAAAAATAATCAATTGAATCATCACAACGCGATGAGCGAACTAATATTAAAATACATTACCGGATGATTTAGATGGATCCATCTGTTTTGAAAGACAATAATTATGAAAGGCAAGAGGAACTATTAATTCCTGTGTTCCCTGCTAACGAACAAAGTCAGAAAATTCCTTCAAATAATGTTGAAAATCAATCTTCAACTTCTCTTGATGAGAACGTTAATGAATGAGAACGTTAATGAATCAAACTCAAACATTATTTTTATCATCCATTCAAGACCATGGATTTGTCGCACTTATTATAACAGATCAAGAGTGGATTTCTTCGATGGTTCTTTAGGCAGTTTTCATGCTCGTCTCGCTAGACCAAGAGTTTCTTTAATAAATCCAATTTACGATTTTTGGAGGATCTCCGTACTTCGGATATCGTAATTGCGGATTGCGGATTTATCGTTATGGTCGTAGTATTGGTGGTATAATAATATAGCTATGTTAACTTTTTTTTTTTTAGTTAAAATTACTTGTAATCATTATTTAATAATCAATAAAGTTTTATCATATGGCGTATTTTTCTCATGACGGAAGATGATTACGAAATTACGTCATTTAATTTATTAGTAAACAAATGGTTATAAAAAAACCGCAAAAAAAGAAAATTACTACTTTTCAGTAAGAAAATGGCTGCAAGTTTGAATTTAAAACTAACGTTTCGAGGAGAATCTACTTATGTAATCATCAAAGGTGTGTTTTGACGCTATATCTGATATACAAGTAATATTTGATGTAAAAGTTTAAAATGTTTCTTTTTTGGTGTCAGAAAATGAATTGAATTTTGATCAAGTTAAGCATCAATTTTCCAAAGAATTTGAAACTTTTGATTCGGAAAAGTGCAAAATCGAATGGAAAGATCAGGATAACGATTGGATCATATGGAAAAGAGGTAATTTTTTTTATGATTCTTGCCTCTATAAACATGATTTTAATCTCATGCTATTCATTTATATCAAGATGACGATTCTCTTAATAATATCTTGAAAAACGTGGCGAAAAATGATCAAAATACCCTCAAGTTTCAAGCAATTGTTTTTGATCTTCCGGTAATAAAAAAAAAAAAAAAAGTTTCCTAGATAGATTCTTGTATTTAATTATTTTTTTTTTTATTACATTATACAAACAGGAAACAATTAACGGTCGAGATTCGTTGAGCACAAAAGCGTTGATCAGAAGGTGAGTAATTAATTTTACGTTCAATGGAGCGGCAGCATGAGATTAAAACCAATTCATTCCCTTAGATACATTAATATGCTAGATGAAACTCGAGATACAGCTGAACGAATCGTGCAACTTGATATTATGCGTCATATAATGATTATCACAAAACCTGAACAAAAGCTAGCCAACTATACTCGAGAAGTAACAACCTGGTTAATTGAATCTTATCATCAAATTCATGTTTACGTTGATCGTAATTTTATGAATGTTTTTGAGATGATCGCTGAACGCGAAGAATATCAACGTCAACTTCATTTTTGGAACGCAAATGACGTCAAATCGGATAATATCGATTTGATAATTACTCTTGGAGGTGATGGGACAATTTTATATTCATCTTGGATGTTTCAAAGTGATATGCCGCCTTTGTTATCGTTTCATTTTGGATCTTTGGGTTTCTTGACTGTATTTGATTTTAATAATCATCGGCGCGTTTTACGCAATGTGATTGATGGCGGCGGTGTCCGTGTTAATGTCAGATCTCGACTTAAGTGTTCTATTTATAGGAATCATAAAAAGGTGAATGAAAGTAATAATATTGAAGGAGTCGATGGTTTAGAAATTTCACAGTCACCTGAAATTTTCCATGTGTTGAACGATTTATGCATTGACCGCGGTGATGCTGGGAACATGTTGGAAATCTTGTTGGTTGGTTTCTCATCACGTTCATTTCTCAAATGAACATATTAAATTCTTATCTAATGTTTTTTTTTTTTTTTTCAAAAAAGTTTTTGGATGGTTGCCAAATTACATCGATTTGGGCCGATGGGCTTGTTTTGGGTAAGAGGACTTGGTCCTGATAATAAAATTCTTATAATTTTTTATTCTTTTATTTTTTTTATTTGTTTATTTTATTTAACAGCAACATGTACGGGATCTACTGCTTATTCGGTATGTAAGATAATCTCCTCAAGTTTTATCGTAGAAATTTCTCATATTTCATTTTTTATTTTTTTTGCATATCTATTTATGATCTAGCTTTCTGCTGGGGGATCTCTCGTTCATCCTGATCAAAATGCTATTTTGATAACTCCTATTGCGCCACATACACTTACCGCGAGGCCGATGATTATTCCTGGATTTAAAGAAATACGTGTTTGCGTTCCTTCCACGAGTAGAATCACCGGTTGGGTAATAATGAATAAATTAAAATAAATTTATTTTGCGAATTATATACCATATTTTTAATGGAGAGTTCTTTTATAAAGGTCTCCTTCGACGGAAGAAATCGTATTTCACTTGATCGTGGTGATTCAATAGTGGTGACTGCGTCATTGCATCCTTTGTTAACGATCTGCAGCGAAGGCCCTTATAAAGATTGGTTTCGCGGATTAAGTAAAATTCTTAGTTGGAACGAAAGAGTTCCACAAAGACCATATGATAATTCCATATTAGTCTGAAAGAAAAGAATGTTTGGAATGGTTATCAATATGGTGATAAGCATCCTAATAAATACTCATTTTTTTTTTTTTTTTAAAAAAAAAAAAAATCGTTATTTAAACGCATTTCTATTGAGGTAGTCCCAAATATCTTCCTTGCTGTTTCGTTGCGAGTTTAACAGCTCTACAACATTATGCTTTCTTTACAATAGTCTTGCAAATACCAATTCTTTGATCATTATTGTTACCATAACGTATTAACATTCCTTCTATCTACGAGCAAGAATTCTAAATAATTGAAAATTCGGTTCTGGTGAATTTCTTAACTGAGAGATAAAATACATGATGTGTTTTCTTTCTCTTGGTAATTTATATTGAATGAATGAAAATTCAAAGCTTCAAATAAATTGGAAAATTTACCATTCATATATCACTCATTTTAATATTACACGCTATTTTTCCTTTGACCAATAATAAATTTTTTTTTGATTTTTATTTTTTTAATCAACAACAAATCGATATCACTACCATCATTTAATGATAATTGGGGGCGGAGGGGGAAATCTACAAATTCTGAGTAATTTTAGTTATTAAGCTAGTTTTGTTCACATGATCAGCAGAGTGAACCAATAAAAAAATTTTGATCAAAAAGTGTATTTCTTCCTTTTCTACTGACCGCCCCCCAATTGAATCAAAGTCATTAAGCTCATCTTTACTGCATTGATTCGACCTTAATTTGATATTGACTTTATATCAATTTATGACATCCATACAGTCCCCAGCAGAAAAAATGGTGGTGGAAATATCGGATAATATTTTAGACTGGCATTACCGCTTTTTAAGCAATTACGAAATCGACATTGGAACCCTTAAAAAGGTAAGTTTAAAAAAAGATTTGTCCAGGAATTTACCAGATTTAGTTATGCACTAAAAAACGTAGGTTAGTAGTAAATCATGTGATTTTATCATATGGGACCTTTTGTAATAGAAAAGGGGAAAACAGCTGGAAAAAATAAAAAATGAGTTAATGCTAAATTTGATCTAAAATAATTATTTGGTATATAAAAGTAAAATTGATTTTTTTCCCGGCAGTTTTCTTCCTTTCTATTGCAAAAGTTTCATATAATCATGTAAGTACTATTATTTAAAACCTATAAATCTGAACTATCTATTGATCTAAAAATAGATATGATATATTAATAAGAAAATATTAGAAGAATTATAAATTAGGGATAGGAATTAAAATTAGAAATGGAAACAAGAATAGAATTAAAAATGGGAATAAGAATGAAAAATAGAATTAGAAACAGAAAATATAGACAAAGAATTGGAAATCAGAAAAATAATCTATAAAAATGATTAACATTATAAATAAAAGTAGTATTTTATGAATATCTAACATTATCCTAAAGGCCAGTTTCCCAAATGAACATTTTCTAAAAGTTTGACCTATATTATGATGATTATATCAAAATTTTTAAGAAAATTTTCATTTAAAAAAACAGCCTTTAGAATAATCTATTATAATTGTATTTTATTTTATAAAAGTAGATATCTTAGTTTTAATAATAAAAACTATATAATAATTATCTTGAAAATAATAAAAGAATTTTAAAATGAATAATTATATAAAAAAACAAAAAATAATAAGTAAAATAATAAAAAAAAGAAATTTAAGAAAAATAATAAAAACAATAAAAATAAAATAAAAAAAAGGAATAAAAATAATTAAATGGGAGTATAACACTAGTCAAAATAAAAAATTTCGATCATATGACTTTCAATTAAGTTTCAACTGAATTCGGTATAAAATTTCGATTATTATTAGATTTTGGCTCATGTGATTGCTGATCTGCCTTACCGAAACCCTAACGAATTTTTAAGTTTAAAGTTATATATAAAAAGAATACAAATTATACAAATTTCACTTTATATACTTTATATGCAATATTAATGAATGTTAAGTTTTCTATTAATTGGATTTACGGCCAAATAATTCTTCGCATTTTTCTGACCTGAAATTTGATATTTTACTGGTACAAACCTACTGAGAATGTTATGTACTAGAATAATACAATCACGTCCCTCAGGGTAAAACTCTAAGTTTCACAACTCAACATTATAAACTTCATCATTATCAATACTGAAATGGTATCGATTACTTGTCACATGTTTATACCACTAAATGAATGCCAAATTATGTTCTAGTTCTCCATCCGGTAAATTAATCTTGTGAACAAAAAAAAATTGCACTTGATCGGGAAAACAATCAGTATCACCGTCTTTCGTTATAAATTTTACCAAAATGAATGAGCTTCTCAAGTGACGAGATGACATATTTGAACCAAATATCTTAGAGCCAATTCAGCATCTACCAAATTGATTTATTTTGACGCTAATTACTATCGAATCTTCATGACTTTTTTCAAATCGTTTTCGAAATTCCAGTGTTTCATAGGTTGTCATGTAATATTCGACCAATAAATTAAGTATTGAATTTGACATTATTACATCTTCAGAAATAGGTCTCATCATTTCATCCAGGAATAGCTTACTTTCAATAATTGATGATTGTTGAATATTTCGTGAATTCAACCAGAATTGTTCTATTTCATCAGAAGAAAATTCGTCAGTTTCTAACAAAGATCTAACTAAAGATCACTTTTCGAGTAATTCTAGACCTCTTGTATTTACACCAGAGCTTATAATACCATTAATACAAATGTTAGACATCAATCAGCACATAAATTCTGATTCAATTTTCTTATGGCTATTCAGTAAGGTACCTAAAATTTAAAATATTATAATTATTTACCATTTTTGGAAGTATTACAGTAAACAAAAAATAGTTTACCTAGTATACCATTCATACGCTTAAACGAGAAGCACTAGAATGCGTATAAAGGTCCGAAATCGTCAGTACATGTGCTTAAGTGAAGTGAGAGGTGAAGATTTAGTGTAACTTTGTCTCCTCTATAATGTTTCTCAATTAACTTCACAATCTCAATCAATTTCCAATGTACTTCTCTAACCAAATCAATTTTTAAAACACGACTTACTAAAATTGTATAAATTCTCATAAAATGATAGAGAATTTTTCGATCATGACCTGAAAGATGCTCCTAAAGAGTAACAGTAGCATACATCATAAAAAATATTCTCCATTGATCTGTGGTGAAGTTTGAAAATCCTTCACCACAGTCAATTTTATTTAGAATACGATCAATATCAGATGGCACTTGAAATCTGTCCATTGTTTTCTGAATAATCTTTAAAATGTTTGTTGTCAAAACGCCCTCATCAACCCAAATATGTTTTACTATCTACCTTGCAATGCCTAGAAATAGACAATGCATTGGGTCAATGATTAAAAATCGAATTGGATAAAAATATGGCAGACAAAGTAATTCAGACTATCTAATACCTGTGTTTCTAATAAACGCTTTCTTGCAGTATCTGATTTGCAATGTCATCATGCAAGAGCATTCTGAAAATGTTCATTTTATCATGAGCAATGAACCATTCATATATATCATTCATTCCTGCAAAGTTGTGTTGCTGATTCTTATAATTTGCATGTTTCTTGCACTAATGATATAAAACAAGTGCTGAAATGTGGCCACATATTTTCCTGGTCGCAGGAATATTGCATGAAACAAGTATTAATGCTGCACAAATTATTTTCCTTCTTTGCTTTCGTATGTTTTATTTAAAGTCACCCCAGTCCAGAGTGACTCTAATTCGTTAACAATCAGTGCTAAATAGTGATTTATTTTATGTAAATTCACTTCATTTGGACCAGGTAACAAGCTAAGAATTAGTAGATTTTTATGCTTAAATCTGATGTTCCATGACAAATTGCATACAGCAGCATATATTATACCAGTACTGTGAATTGAACCCTCGTACAGCTGGAACTAATCAAGATTTATCATTAAGCCAATATTCAAATCAGCTATTTTACTTCAGAAAAAATTCTCATCATTTGTGTCTTTAAAGCTTTTTCAGATTTGTCCATCGTATATATCAGTCAAAATGTTATTGAAAGTTAACCTATTGACCCAATGTCGAAGAGAACTTTTAAAACCAGGTTGAAAATACAAGGTTACTAATTGTTGACAAATCCCTGTGAATGGATAAATCATCTTAAGTCGAATTATAAATTCATTTAATAATCTTGTTTGATTAGATAGAAGCGTTTGACACAATCAGCATCTTGTTGAATTGGAAAATTCGATATGTTGACATTTCATAATGGTAAGAGTTTCATTTTGACTGGTTCATTGTCTTCTTCATCACTATGAAAAGTATTAGTACTTTGATCTTCAGACGTGAAATCAGTAGTTTCTTTTATTGTCAAATCTGCTTGTTCAATGTTATCAATAGAAACCTCAACTGAAAGATTTATTATATGTCTTAGTACGTATTTTTGAGGTAAAATGTTGTCAGTATACGAGTGCCCTTGCTGGACTTCATCAATTTCTTGTTCATTTAAAATATTCAATCGATATGATTCATCGACATCTTCCCGAATTTCAGGATTTTATAAATATTCAGGTAATTCATTTTGCAAATAAATTACTAGTAGAGAAGTTAACGATTCATCAGCTAAAACATTTGCTGAATTTATGCTATATAGTTCGTCTAATTCATATTGTATCTTTGTGCGAGATTCAACTAAATCACCTTTACATTTACTACAAAAACAGGATACTTTCCGCTTTCTTCTTGGTTGAACAATCGGCTGAGACATTTTTCGAGTAAATTGAGTAGATACAGGATTTTTATTATCAATTACACTAAATATTGACCTTTTTTGTACCATTTTATTATACATGTAATTGTATCATATTTGATAAATTTTGATGAAAGATCGTTAATATTGGTACATAAACTATAAAGTTTTTCTTTTACAGAAAAAATGAAATTGTAGCATTTATACTTATTTTAAATAAAATACGAACATTTATTGCATTTAATCGAAATACAAGTTTGTTATTATATAAAGTAAAAATGAAATCATGAGTTTATTTACTGTAAAATTTAATATAATAGTACGCATATTATAGAAAATAAAAAATGAAATCTCACTATAAAGTTCTAATAGTATGCTAACATGCAACGTAGGAGTATGATTACGTAATAGTTATTTCATTTTTCGTAGTGATCTTTGTGGCACAGCCACAAAAATAATGTCACAAAATTTATGTGACTGATTTTGTCAACTGTATCACACGTGACATTTTTTGTAGTTATACAAAAATCTTTTATATAATTACGGTTCCAATTTGATTAATAATAAACTTTTTTTTTGAAAATATCAGTAAAAAAAAGCCATAGAGAAAGTTAATCGAATTATCAATCAAATTATAATATTATTCTTTGCTTACTATAAAATAGTCCAGTTTACGTGTATTTATGTATTAATATTTAATTATATTTGCTAGATATGAATCGTAAAATAAGACAAAGTTAGACAAAAGATTGCTTTTGTCTTTTAATTCCTGATTTCGTTTCAGAAGGGAGAGAAAAGAGGAATAAGAAAGAAGAAAGAGAAGAAAAAAAAATAAGAGAAGAGAGAGAAGAAAGGAAAGAGAGGAAAGAAAAAGAAGAAATAGAAAGGAGAAAAGAAGGAAAAGAAAGAAATGAGAGTTAACAAAGTTAAATTACAGCTCAAAGAATCGCAAGCGTGCGAGTAAAACTCCTGAACATCCGTTTGCCAAAGTCATTTTCTGGAGTCAGCCCTAGTGTTGATAATGAGCCAGAAAATGATAACAGTTATTTTTAATATTGATTCATTTGATTATCACTTGATTTAATTTTAGTTTTTTTTATAACTTTGTCAATTAAATATATTAACTAAGTTTCCAATTTTTATTATTCACTAATAATTTGTAGCTATACCAGATATAATATCAGAAAATATAAAACTAAAAGCACAAAATAAAGAATTACAAAAGAAGATAGAAGACCTAGAGGAAACAAATAGAATACTTATGAATATTAATGAGACATTCAGTTTAGAGAATTATCAACTCAAAATCAATCACATAAGCGTTAAAAAATAACAAAAAAAAGTAAACGATCAATCAAGTCTGATTATTATGATAGTAGTTCAGATGAAAATTCAGGTTATACGCAAGATAATACACGAATTATTGAAGCTGATAGAAAAAGCGCAAGGGTTGTATGATTTATATAAACAACTTTGTATCATCATTTATCAAATTTTTATTCTTACAGACAATTTAGGTGGAAATAAAAATCATTTTAAAGACAATACCTACTAAGTGCGATTTGAACTATAATGAAATATTTATGAGCCAAAAGAACTTGAAAATAAGACAGAAGCTGATTTTAGAACTTATCAAAGCTTTGAAGCTGAATTACAATCCTTCATATGATTAGATTACCAAGTGGCTCAAGTCACTTCATAGGTCTAGAAGAAACTGAATCAATTACAAAAAAAGGGTCAGATTGATGATGACGACCGTCGATTACATGCAAATAGGTGACTAAATAAAGTATGAATTTCGGTTGGTTTTTTAATACTTATACTAACAACTTTTATATATATGTATACAATTTGTAATTAGAAAAAAATTCATCAGATAAAAAGTGCAAAATCACTTATATAATGAAAAATTCAAAGGTTATGGAATATGATCAAGATGAATTAATTGGTATATTATGGGATAATAAGTATCATTCCCCTGAAATTAGTGAAACTAATGATGAAAATCCGTCAAGAAGTCTTATATGTGTATATGATCACTCGTGGCGTTCTAACGAGGTTTCATATTTATTTGTCCTTGTCATTAATATATATATAGATTTACATATTAGCTTATTTTATTTTTAGTTGAAAAACCTTTTATGAAATGTATTAGATTCGCATTTTTTAATGTTACAAACTGCTCAACTATCGAGATCTCGTGTATATAATGATAATTTGTAACACTTTAATATTTCTTTTCCTCCAAATACTTTGAACTGGACTCGTGTCAAAAGTAATCATAATGAAGCTGATTCAGACATAAAAGGAAGTCCCAAAAGTCAAGGTATATATAGTTCAGATGAAGCAGAGTCCTCAACTGCTAGAATAGTCAGAGGCACAGGTTCAGGCAGGGGTATTACTAAAGGTGGTGAGTATATTAAAAGTATAGCGTTATTTAATATTTTTTCTGAATTTTCGCTAATATTTTTTATTTTTCAGGTAATTGATTCAACTTATGAATGTTAGTAATAATAGTAATTTGTAAAAGAAATTTATAATCTTGTTAACATGAATGTATAGCTAGTAGTTATGTTAATTTGTAATAATAAATTTAACGATTTGCATCATTTGCAATTAAATATGATATATCGGATAATCAAAAGTTGGCAATTCAATATAAAAATACACAGTGATTCAATATAAAATACTCGGTAATTCGATATAAAAATGCACAGCGAATTGACATGAAATACTCAGTAATTCAATATAAAATGCCCAGTAATTCGATATAAAAATGCTATTCAAAAGTTATTTGAAAGCTATATAAATGCTAGATCAAAATTTATGCAAGTGGCAGTTAAACTGTATCAATTGAAAAACCTTTCAGTAACAGAATTTTACTGGCTTTCGGTTATAATTCGGGCTGAAAATGGCTATACAAAAGCTATCTGAATTGGAGTATTTTGACTAGTGTAAAAGAAAATAAAAGTAATAAATATAAAAATAAAAAAATTATAAAGGATATGAATAAGAAGGATATAGTAGATAAAATTAAAAGATAAAATATATAAATATGAAAGATAAAGAATATAAAGATAAAAGATACTGAATATAAAGATGAAAAATGTAAAATATAAAGATAAAAGAAGAGAATAATCATTAAAGTTAATGATAAATAATAATAAAAAAAATTAAGAATAATAATGAAGAAAAATTTATAAAAGAATATAAAAAAGAATAAAAGAATAAAAGAAATATAATAATAAAAAGAAAAATATAATAATAAAAGAAAAAATAATGTATAAAAAAAGAAATAATAAATTATAAATAAATAGAAATACAATATTTAGAAAGAAAGAAAGTAATATAATAAATATATAGGTTCTTTATTAATTAAAAATTAATTGTAAAATAAATTCATTTAATAGCAAGTAACAGAAAATATATTAAATAAATATAGTTTTTAAAGCTAATAAATTCTAAAAAATCATATATTTATGAAATATAAGTTTTTACAATTATAATATATAATCATTAATTTGATTTATAACATTTCTAATTATTCAAGTATCATATGAATTAATTTTTTGAAAAACATCATATTTTAATACTATTTTATATATTTTAGATTCTTTTTATAACTTGTTTTATTTTTTATAAGTTCTTAAATATTTCATTATCTTTTTTTTACTTCACTTTAATAAATTTAAATTGATAATTATGCAGATCATATAAATATAATTATACTTCAACATAAATTGATAAATTACTAATTAAATTGTATTTTGACAAATAATTATTTTATTAATAATTTATAATAATATCAAATTGATGTAATTAATTTTGACATTATTAAAATTAATTAACACTAAATATAAGTATATTGATATTTTTAGATATTAACCAATTTTTTATTTTTTGTGCAATATATTTTAGATCAATATTTACTAAAAGATAATATTTAAATGAGTAAATTTATTCATTGCAGAATGCGATACTCCTTATATATTGGCCTTATATATATATCTTACATTAATCTTAATTTTAAACTAACTCTAAACTATATGATATTAACATATATGAAAAATAGGATTTTACATATGAAAAAATTTCTAAGTCCTCAGAATATATATGAAAAATAAAAAAAAAGGGATGTGTAAAGATGGTCCTCATAATTATTTTCAAATTTTAATTGAGTTGCAACTTAATTACGCTATTTTTTTTAATTATGATGATCATCTTTAAGGATGTGACATGAGTAACAAAAGGAAATGATAATATTATGCTTACAATACATAAATTTACTCTATTTAAAATATTTAAATTATAATATTTTAATATCTCAAAAATTATTATTTAATATTTGAATATATAATTCAAAATCTAAATTACTATTAATTCTACACAAATATTCTTTAAGAAATCATGTAATCCTATATAAAAATTCTTATACTATTAAATTTTATAATATATTTTATATAATTATCTTTTAATAGCTTTTCTATAGTTTTTTAATATATTATTATCTGTCAAATTTAAAAGTCAAATTTACTTCATCTGATTAAATTATTTTATTTAATATTTTTTTGTAATATTATATCATATCTTTTTATATTAAGATAATAAATAAAGCTTTTAACTTTTATAATTAATTTAAGGTTATTATTTTTTAAATATTTTTCATATAAATTATAGAGAAATTTGATATTATAATTTTATTATAATAAAATATTTTTCATTTTTAATATACTATCTAGATAAAAGTAATAGATCTCATAATTTAATTTAATATTTAGAACTATACATAATAATTTAAGCTAAATATTTAATATAATATAGCTTATATTTTATATAAATAATGATGTAAATATTACTTTATTTATAAATAATTTTCAAATGTGATTGACAAAATAGAATTATGCATTATATCTAATTTTACTAAAGCTAAATATAATCTGATGATATTACAAAAACATATATTACTAAAATATTCAGCTTTTCTAAAATAATAATTCTTCAAATTATTTAAGTCTTTGTGAAAGAAAAAATCTTAAACTCAACTACAAAATAAATACCTAAGACTTTTAAATGATGAAAATACTAAAAAAAATTATTTATTAGTCATTAATCAGTTGAATAAATAAAAAACAAATTTCAAAAAAAACTGAAATGCAAGTTTTTATTAAGATTATAAGAAAAAATTTATATGAATTTAATATCAGCATGTAAATTTCTTTGAATGGTAAATAAAAAAATCATTTAAATTAATGTATTAAAAAAAAAATGATCTGTTAGAAAATGAAAGTTTATTATTTAAAATGATAAGAACTACTTTACAATATTTAAAAATAATGATTTAAGTTATATTTAAAGCATTCTTAAAATATGATTTAATATTAAAAATATGATTCTTTCAATAAAATATAATGGTAAAAGTAGTGTTATTTTTTAGAAAAAAATTAAGATTACTAGTAAAAGTTAATAAAAAATAAATCATTGTAATTATATTTAAATGCTTATATCACATTTATATATATTAATTTTAATATAAGAAATTATTTATTCTAAGATAATAAATAATGCCCAATTTAATTACTAAAAATGTTAAAAATAGATTGAAATAAAAAAATAAAAATTTTGAAAATTGGTTAAATTAATCATTTAATTTGAATCTTATTAAATATTTATAGTTGAAATTAGAGAATTATATCAAAGAACATCTAAAATCTATAAAAAATATAAAGAAATTTGAGTATATTTTACATTAAAAATGGAATAAAATTTGATATATACTTTAATAAATTTAATTGAAAGCATAATATGTCAGATCAGATATAGATATATATTAAGAATAATAGTTAGCTAATTAAATATTAGTTTTATATATAATTAAATTAATAATAGTTTAAATATAACTCTAATTATTATATATATTTTTTAATAATTAATAAAAAATATGAAATCTGCTACTTTTATCTAAGTAGTAGATCTTACAACTTGCTATACTTTATGTTTTTTAACTATTTGAGATCATTTAATCTTTAATAAATCTTTGTAATTTATATTTATTAAATAATATATTATTACAGTCAACTTTTGATATAACAAACTCTTGATATAACGAATTTTTTGAACAAATATAATAAAAACACTCTTGTTATAGCGAATTAATCAATCAAATCTCTTAAAATCTTCACTATAGCCTTATAGTGAAGTTGAGATCTAAGACATAGAGTTCAATATAACAAGAGTTGACTATATGGGAGTGTTTTTAGGAAAATCAGGTTCCGAGAAATTTTTGACTAAAATAAAGAGCTTAATACATTTTAATCTAATAACATCAAAAACTAAAATGCAATAAAAATCTCAATTTTGCTAAAAAATTCCCGGAATCTGATTTTCCTAGCAATCAACCCATATATTAATACTAATACTTATATTTTTTATTATTTCAATTGATAAATAAAAGTTTTAATTAAAAAGAATGCAAATATAAATATGTTTTTCTAAACTATTAAATATAATAAAAATTTAAAAAATTTAATTAAAACATTATTTTATTTATTATTTTTTTTTAAAAAAAAATTTATTTAGAATTTTAAAAAAATTAACAAAAAAAAAAAGAAAAAATTAAAAAATAAAAAATAAAAAGCTATTTAAACATGATTTATTAAATTTATAATATATATAATTTATTAATTATGCTAAATAAATTATACAGTTAAACTTCTCTCAAGATCAAAAATGATATGATTATAAAATATTATATGATGTAAATAAAAAGAAGTTTTTTTAATATATTTATTAATAACTTAAACCAATATAAGTGTATTTATAAAAAGTATATAATTATTTAACTATAGAGAAGGTCAATTGTATTATTATTATTTTTAATATACTTTATAATTTAATATGAATTATATTAGCTTAAAAGTAATTTTAGATTATTAATTATATAATTAAAAATTTAATTTAAAAATAATTTTTTTAAAAAATTCTAATTTTCATAAAAGTATATCAGAAAAGATTTATAGTAAACAGATAAATTTGTTTATAAATCTTTATAATTTAAAAGATTATTTAAATAATATATTAAATAACCTGAAATATTCTAATCTAATTAATTACAGTCAAAACTTAATATAACAAATCTATTAGTTTAATAATTTTTGATTCGTTATAATGGAAATTCAGAAAAACAAATTTTTCTTAATTTAAATATAAAAACTAAAAGTTTATTATATTAAATTTTACAATTATTTTATAATAAATAAAATATATTTATTATTTATTATTATTTGTTTATTATTTATTTTTTATTTATTATATATTTTATTATTTTTTATTATAATTATTTATAAAATTTAGAATAAAAAAATTTAATTAAATTAATAAACTCATATACTATTTATTTAATTAGATTAAATATTTTAATGATCATTTATTAAAATAAGAAAAAATAATTATAATTAATATTTAATATATTTAATAAAATTGGTATATAGTA